TGTATAACTTATCCTTCTATTATGAAACTGTTTCTACATGAAACTTTAGTTTTGGGGAGTTTGTTTGTATAACTTATCCTTCTATTATGAAACTGTTTCTACATGAAACTTTAGTTTTGGGGAGTTTGTTTGTATAACTTATCCTTCTATTATGAAACTATATGTACATGAACTTTATTTTTGGTGAGTTTGTTTGTATAACTTATCCTTCTATTATGAAACTATATGTACATGAATTTTTATTTTTTGGTGAGTTTGTTTGTATAACTTATCCTTAACTATTTTATTCAGGTATCATTAATGTTGTTACCGTTATCACTTTGCTGTGACACTACTAGTGATATAGTTAACACTGGTATCAATGATAATTAAGAGAGGGATTATTCCCAGATAGCATTATCACTTAATTTAAATGTTCCAGAACAAGAGTAATTTAATTATATCGTATTTTTGGTATAGCTGTATTTGATATAGTAATCACGTTATATCTGACAATTAATTATAGTAATTGGATCGCTTAAGATAGTTGGGTTACATGAAATCATTGATTTAAAAGTGTCTTAATTTTTAACGTATAAAGTGACAAAAGTAATCGTATTAGTGACCTACTTTACTGATATGATTGAAATTTGGTTTGACTTATAATACAAAACCCTCAGCACTTTTGAAGTTCATCGATCTTTTAATCGCTAATACAATATAAATTTTTGTTTTATATATTAACTTCCTGGTAAAGTTTATATTTTCTTAATGTGAACGTACACCTTTGATATTTTTAATTTCTGAAAGTGTTACTGTATAAGGTAGGTAGCAGCTGTGCACTCCACCTCAACCCCGCCAGTAGAGGAAAACCAAAACTATATACAAATAACACAACAAACCTTTCGTCATAATTAACATGATTACACTGACATCACATACATTAAGATGTTATCAATGTATATGACATAAACTTTGTATCTTTCTTTGTTGGGGATGTTCTTTCTAGTCACATTTCACCCTAATTTCGTACATTATGTATTCAAATTTATTCTCTTATCAAATACATAAATACAACAATGATTAATGCATATCGTACCATTTTTAGAACGTTAATTCCATGCATTGTGCTAACTTTTAACTAACTACTATATAATTAGTTGAATTACAGGCTGAACTATTTAATAACACTTTCAGGAGTGAACCCGCTATGCTATTTGATAACTTTGATGTCAGTCAATTCCAGTACTTTTTCGCTCTATGAATAATGTCGAACTGCTTGAAAATAGGTCTTTAAAACTGTTTTAGTGTGTCTATTTTTTGAGACTTGTAAAGGTTTGTTAATGGCAACAATTAAATAAAAACAGAAAGTAAATATTTGTATTTTACTTTACAAGAAACTTGTCACTGATGGATCAACGGTAAGTCTCGAGACTTAGAATGCTAAAATCCCTGGTTCGATTCTCCAAGCCCAGTGTGTAGGTTTGCACAAAACAACAGTAAACTTTCAAATGCTATACAGCAGCCGTTATCAATTTGTTATGAAAGTATCCTCCATGACAACCAAGCTACTGCAGACACTATCATACTTCGAGAAGTACCCCTCCATGGGAGATCTCATCATAACAACCAAGCTACCACAAACACTATCAAGCTTCAAGAAGTACCCCTCCATGGGAGAGCTCATCATGACAACCAAGTTACTGTAGACAGTATCATACTTGAAGTAGCACCCCTCTAGCGTGACAACCAAGCTTCTGCAGACACTATCATACTTCAATAAGTACCCCTCCATGGGAGAGCTCATCATAACAACCAAGCTGCCACAGACACTATCATGCTTCAAGAAGTACCCCTCCATGGGAAAGCTCATCATGACAACCACGTTACTGCAGACAATACCATACCTGAAGTAGTAACCCCTCCATCATGACAACCAACCTACTGTAGACAATATCATACTTGAAGTAGTAACCTTCCAGCATGACAACCAAGTAAATGTAGACAATATCATATTTGAAGTAGTACTAAATAAGTTGATGGTACAGGAAGCTTCAACTAACGAAACACAACGTTAAATAGTAGCATGTGTGAGATATTAGATCGCTACGGAACACAACATTAAATAGTAGCATGTGTGAGATATTAGATCGCTACGGAACACAACATTAAATAGTAGCATGTGTGAGATATTACATCGCTACGGAACACAACATTAAATAGTAGCATGTATGAGATATTAGATCGCTACGGAACACAACATTAGATAGTAGCATGTGTTGGATATTACATCTCTACGGAACACAACGTTAAATAGTAGCATGTGTTGGATATTAGATCGCTACGGAACACAACGTTTAATAGTAGCATATGTTGGATATTACATCGCTACGGAACACAACATTAAATAGTAGCATGTGTTGGATATTACATCGCTACGGAACACAACGTTTAATAGTAGCATGTGTTGGATATTACATCGCTGCGGAACACAACGTTTAATAGTAGCATGTGTTGGATATTACATCGCTACGGAACACAACGTTTAATAGTAGCATATGTTGGATATTACATCCAGTACAAATAAGGTATGATATCATGCTGTCGAAAACTTTTTATCTCAATATCAGAACCTTGAGGCCGGCAGGTGTTGATTAGTTAATCGTGGTATAATTCTAGTATTAATATGTATTTTGAGTTTTCTTCTGTGTTAATACTGTTAGGTAACTGTGGTCAGTGTTATTTTGACTGAATATAGTACAAATCAAACCATACGGACATGCACGTATCTTGTGTATCGGGAGTGTCGAACCTACGGCCCATGAGTATCTTTATTTTCTGCCTGTTATCAAATGTCCCAAGCTACGTTTCGTATAGTAAAACGTGGCCCTGAACTAGTAACATAAGTTACCACTGTTTCGAGCGAAGTCCAGTCAGCGTCTGTATTGTTAATTAAACCATGAGTCACAATCTTGGTAGAAATGAGGAAGGAGACTCATGGGCTGTTATTATTCATGAACCCGGCCTCATTGTTGTTTCATACTATGATTTTATAGGCGCGGTCCGGAATGGCCAGGTGGTTCGGGCGCTTGACTCGCAATCTGATGGTCGCGGGTTCGAATCCCTGTCCCACCAAACCTGCTCGCCCTTTCAGACATGGGGGTGTTATAAATAAACAGTCAATCCCACTATTCATTGGTAAAAGAGGTTGTGATGAGTAGCTGCCTTCACTCTAGTCTTACACTGCTAAATTAGGGACGGCTAGCGAAGATAACCCTCGTGTAGCTTTGCGCGAAAGTCAAACACGAACAAACAATTTATAGGCGACACAGATTAAGTAACTTTTACTGTTTTGGAAAAACGTGATATCCACGAGTTTCTTGGTCTCACAATAATTATTTTTATGTGAACTCGTATCAGAAAAAGCAATGTAATCACAATTTCATCGGCAAAATTCTATGATTTCATGGTATTTTTCATATACAGTAAAAATATATTAAGTATTTAATAGTTTCAATATTTACCGAAAAGCAAAGAAAGTAAAATAATTTAAAAGAAATATTTGAAATGTGTTTTAAATAGTAATTATGAATATTAAGCTATAAATTATAAACGATATTTTTCAGGACATTTAAATAAGTAACTGTTTATCTTTCAGATGTAATTTTACCAATGAAATAGTTGGTTTAAATAACGTTTCTTTTGAGTAATGTTTCAGACTTCTTGGTTTAAACTTTGTGTTTTAAAGTTCATGTTTTAAACTTCCTGTTTTAAACTCCATGTTTCAAACTCCAAGTTTTAAATTCCATGTATTAAACTTCTTGTTTTAAACTCCATGTTTCAAACTCCAAGTTTTAAATTCCATGTATTAAACTTCTTGTTTTAAACTCCATGTTGTAAACTTTGTCTTAAATTCCATGTATTAAACTTCTTGTTTTAAACTCCATGTTGTAAACTTTGTCTTAAATTCCATGTATTAAACTTCTTGTTTTAAACTC